GTTTCTTCTCGTTATTTATTTCATTATCAATTTCCATTTTTAAACTGTCGCATACGTTGCATGTATCCTTTTTCAGTGTCTTTGTTCGCAAATTAAAGTTGGAATAAAAGATTTGTTTGTATTTGGTAATACTTACAGGTTTATCACATTCTTTGTAATACATTTCGTACATTTTGGCAAGTGTCACATGTGGAGGTAAAAATTTTGCGTCAGTTGTCTTCCGTGAGTAGTGGGAAATATATTTTGTGATCCTATTAATCTGATTGATCACTTCTTCCAACTTATGATCAGGCGTTTTATTCTTACCACCTTGATTAACACCTCGTTGGTCTACTAATGGTGCGCGATCATGAAATTTCTTAAGTGCCGTGTTCACCCGGCAAGGGCTTATACCAAATGTTTTAACAAACGTTTCTCTGGAGATGACTTTATCAGTTATGTTGTAACATCTAGAGAAATTACGTTTCTCAATATTTCTTCCGTAATTTCTTTTCTTTGGGACTTCGCGAACCGCAGCCGCTATGTAATTATTTTGGAAGTTGTACGATTCTAGTGCCCAGAATTTTTCGAAATCCTGCTTTCGTACTTCAACAAACTGTGAACACTTTAGTTTACATTGGCAGTCAAAATCCATAAACGTTCTTGATTCTGTTTTACGTCCTTTCTAGTCGAAATGGGTCACGTTACTGTTTTTACTTTTTTTTTTCTTCGGCTCTAGATTGATCTGCAAATTTTCTTTTTCTTCCCTTTCGAGGACTCCCTTTACGAGTAATTATTTCATTTGGTTCTTCTTCTGATTGACTGAACGAATCGGCCACTTCATGATGACGAGCAGGTTCATACGTAGGTTCAGCTACTGAATCATCAGATCCATAGTCAGGATTTGTAACGCTTGCTTCTTCAACAATTCTATTACTATTTGGTTTATTCTGCATTTCCATGTTTTCTTTATTATCCGTAAAAATTTCATCCAGGGTAACTGACGACATCTGGATTCCAGTACTAGTTAAGTTTGGGTTTCCAATAGTTTTAACATCTGTACTATAAAAAATAAGTTTTAGTGGATATAAAATTTTGTTGCAGCAGTCGAAAAGGTAACTTTAGGCATAAAATTTATATTAACTTATAAGGAAAAGAAAAGCATATCAGAAAAAAGATAGTTACCATCAACTAATTCTTGAAACTGAGATACTTGATTGTCTTGGCCATATAATATGATGATATTATCAGTGTCATTATTTTTAAACTCTTGTACTGTCTCTAATTCTTGAAGATGAGATTCTTGGTGATCTTGGTCGTATAATGTGATGATACTGCCAGTGTCATTATTTCTAAATTCATGTACTGTCTCTAATTCTTGAAGCTGAGAATCTTGGGTTTTTTTTATCATATATGATGATACTATCAGTGTCATTATTTCTGTACTCATGTTCTGTCTCTTCGAGAAATACGGGCCCATTAATTTCTGCTTCCCCATTTTCATCGCCCGAAGCGTGTTTCACAGATTCCAAAACAGACAATGTGTTTCTGCTAGTGTCGGGATTAGCAATCAATATATCTAAAATAAAAACTTTGTTCAGTTCCGCTGCATAAAAGGTTATTACTTTTTTTAACTATAACTAAACATAAAATTTAAAATAAGTTTAAAAATGTTTTCTCCAGTGGCGTAAAAATGGGGGGATAAAACTTGTCAACTAACTCGATAGCGCGCCACTGGTTAAAGGTTTCAAAACTTTATGTCAAAATATTAGGTACTTTATTAAAAAGCATGTTGGTCACCAAATTTGCAAAGAATATTAAATTTGAAGGTATTTTTGATTTGTGGCAAATTGTTTATTTTTATTTCAAATTTTTAACACCCTGTATATCAGAAACTAAGCATTTTAAGGGTTTGTGTTCCTATATCAAAATTCATTAATTAACGAGAGCTCTCTGTGATAGAATGTTGTTGGTCGAATATAGAAACACCCTGTATCTGAGTACCTAGGTATACGCCATTAAAATTTTATTTATTAAATAAATTATTTTAAAATAAGCATTATATTTTTTTTTGTCATTTAAAACAAAACAGGAATCGTTGCAAATTGGAACTTTGTAATAAATTTGATATATTTAGAAAATTAAAATCAACTACATCGTGTAATACCCAATATTTTTTTTTAATGAGAATACGTCGACAACTAATGGTCATTGGCATGGTACAGTGAATTTTTACAGTCATGTGTGTAGTGTGTGTGTGTATGTGTGTAGAGTAATTGTCTTGGTACTTATCAAAGTCGACGTCATTGTCTTTGCTAAGAGACGCTAATTGTGTCCGAACGTCTGCGGTCCCTCCGGTGAGTACCGATCGCACAAGGATAGAATTTATTTTCATTTATTAATTTTTAATAAACGAAAATTTCCACCCAGGTGGGATTCGAACTATACCCAATATTATTTTTGTTTGAAATACAGTAAATTTGGAGTCATCAAAAATTAATTACTTACCCTGTTGTTTCTTGGCTAATTCCAATATTTTAGCAGCACGATTTCTTAACATAATTAACAACACACACTTCCGTACTCGTTAGTAATATTTCAAAAGAACAAATTATGAGCAAATGTCCATTATTTCAACAAAAATACGATTAAGTAGTAGGCGAGACGAAATGATTATTCACTAGATTTTGAGGTTAAGTGGTAGATTTTTGTTTTGCAGAATGCAACCAACCCACTTGGTCATCACTTGGTCAAAAGATAAATGAATAGCGGCAGGCGACTATGTGGGTTGGATGCGTTCTGCAATAAGTTAGTAAATGGAAGTACATTTTATTTGTTAACCATGCGGTTTGGATGTTTTCTGTAAATAAATAATTCTTGATTATAAAATAAACATTTTCAATCATGATCGTTTTTTCCCATAAAATGCTAGGATAGCAGTTGGTCGTCTTCTGCAAAATGAAGAATAGGTTGAAAGTAGTCGAAAAATGACATTAGCTCAATTTTTGATATAATGTGCGTTGGTCGCTTTCTGCAGAACTGGGTCCACTTAAGCCTACTTAGTCAAAACTAAAGAATTTAAAACATTACTGCTTTATTGAGAATAAGCATGGACGTATAAACATAGATGGACACAGCAATAAGATACCTTTAACACACAATGTTTTGAAGCTTCGATAGAATGTGATGCTTCCGCAATGAGTATAAGCGTGCTTGAATTTTTACTCGCGGGTAATTATTCAGATTTTAAAAATTGGAAGTACCTAGTAATAATGTATAAAAACACATTCAAAGAATTAAAAAAAAACGAGAATTTAACTATTAACAAATCACGTCTTTATAGAAAAATTAAAATACAATTTTATTATATCTTATTGAATACATTAATGAACATGAATAAACCCAATGGTACGCCTATTAAAATGTAAACAAACACGCTTTTTCATTTCCTCATCTTAAATAATGTAAATTTTATGTACTTACAAATGAAATGAAAGACCGGGATGTAAATATTTCGTTTATTTTATTTCACTTTTCACAAATATCACTCAAAATACAGCCAAAATTATTTAAAAACCATTTTTCCTTATTTCCTCAATCGTTTTAATCAAACATGGAATAGCATTTGAAGTTTGACGTAGAACCGTAAAACAGAGAAATGTAAACAACCGTTGCCATTTATAAATAGTTTTCAGTGCTTCTAAATATAAAATAATTTATTGATATCTATTATATGCTATTATTAAATGATAATGCACAATATGTGCACACTTGATATTTTGATTACAATTAGATATATTAATATAACCAATAAATTATTATTTTGGTTTGATAGCACCTGTAGAGTATAAAATACGGAGTAATATTTTCAGCGACTCGCGAATAAGAATTTTTAATAAAAAAACGTGACAACAGTTGGAGGTGCTGAGAATGTGACATATTCAAATAATTTTGACTTCACAATTTTATGTAAATAACTGAGTCCATCTGTGTTTATACGTCCATGAGAATAAGGCACAATTTAAGTCTAAAATAAGTTATTGGACGTTTTAATTTCTACTTTGGAAATAGTTCTCAAAATACAAAATATTAGTTAAACAAATTTTACTTTTTGGTACTTGGTGAAAAATCCTAAATTTAATTTTACCTGACTCATTCATATTAACAATTTATATATTTTAAAGAAGACTACTTTTCAATTGTATTAGATCGAGGATTTCGTAAGCTTCGTAAGTAAATAAATTGAAACCACCGTTTGTGTTACCTAGCAGGTCTACTTTTTGCTAATCTCTTATGCCTGTAAATACGACAAAAACATCAAAAACTAAAGCAACTTCTGGAAACTGCTGCACATATCATATGGATGTTTACTTTCGTGTTTCAACTATAGTTAAAGACATACTGCACAAAATATAGTTAAGGAATTAAAACCAGTTACTGATAAAAAATATAATATCTCATTGAAAATACATGTCATTGGTACAGACAACACAGCAAATGTTGTAGCAGCTATTTAAGTAATCTCATGGGCTCACATTTCTTTTTTCGCCGCTAGATTAAACTTAACTATTAGAGATGCATTAAAAAATATAAAAGACTTGCCACAAAAGGTAAAAAAGTTGTAGATTTCTTCCGCTGAAGTTCGAACTCGACTGCTAAACTCATACACTGCAACAAGGTGGAGCTCGATATACTATATATTTGAGAGACTGGTTACATTATCAGAACCTTTGGCTGCAACAGTTGGTGTTTCGCTCAGTCCTTTTATTGTTCCAACTAAAGACTAATGACCGATATTAAAAAAATTTTGCCTTATTTTACAGCCTTTTGAAGTAGTTACTGTTGAAATGATCACTGAAAAGCAAGTAACCCTCTCCAAAGTTATACTTATTATAAAAGGACTACTTTTCTTTTGAGAACTAATTAAAGTTATAAAGTATTTAGTCGAGTAGGAAGAACTCTAATAGAATTCTCTGCTTGCCTCGATTATTGGCCGGATTGAAAATCCTGAGAACAATATTATGCTGAGTAAAGCCTACTTCTTGAATCCGAGATTTAAAACATATGCATTCAGCAACGAAGACAATTTAAAACGAGTTCAAAATCAAATTCAGGATGAACTAGATCATCTTATAAAATATCAAACTGCTAAAAATAGAATCTTTAATAAAACAAAAGAAAATCTATTTGACCTATTGAACAATACAGAAAATTTCAATATGATTTGGCAAGATTTTGATACATGTGTAAAACACTGTTTGCATGTGACAAGTCCAACAGAAGGCGCTATTGCTGAAATCAAAGTGTTTTCGATGTGTCCCGCATACGCTAATACTTGTGCCCATTGCCAAGGTAGAAAACAGATTCCTGGAGTAGACAGCAAGAAAACACAAAAATTATGGAAAGGAGAAAGTCAACAAACAGAAAGTGAGTACATAAAGTAAAAAACCAAATGAGTGGTAGTGGAAGTGTACCTGTCGGTATCTAGCTGTATATCAGTTGTCTCAAAACTGTAGGTTTATTGAAGTCTGGAAGCTCTCAGATTGGTTAGAAACAGAAAATTCAGATAAAAAACTGTATAAAAGAATTTAAATTAGATACTGATATAGAAGTTAACATTCTGCTTGTATGCTATAAAACCATGTGACAATAGTATGTTATAATTCCTGACCTGAAAGTTATCCAGTATAATACGAAAATATCGGCTCTTAAATAAAGTGAATTTTAAGTTAAATATACCCGCTGAAAAATTACAAGAGTGAGTTGGTGAAGTTCCTGATTAAGAGTAATATCGGAGACTCTGTAAGTCAGCTTATATTACATCAATTATTAGTAATAAACAATAATATCTATTTGACAACATAAGAAAAACCATTGAATATTTCAAATACAAACAAGAATTTCTTATCTTTTTTGTTTTTGCACCGGCTTAACTGCCTTGTTATAGTTTGGATACAGGACCGCATTCAGATCTAATGACTAATTTTAAAGTTTATTTAAATGAATGATATTAATTCCGAATTAGCTCAGGAAATAAGCTGTATTTCACCACCAACACTTAAAAAATCGTACTTAACAGCAACCAGTACTCTTAATTTTCCATCCAGAAAGCAAGCTATAGTATTTAGTTCATTAGAAAATGTAAAATTAAAAGATTACCTTGTATCACTAGGATCAGTTATTTCTTCAAAAGATATGTTGTTCTCTTCTCGTATAGCTAACAACAGGATTTGGATTTATTTATCTAGGAAGAATTAGTTGACAAATTTATAAATGTTCATCAAGGAAAAATCATAGTAAAAAATCAAATATAACAAGGAAAAAGATTAATTACTGCTAGTAAACGACTAATATTATCCAATGTATGTCCAACAATTCCACATAGTATTCTAGAATCAGAACTACAGAAACTAGGCTTTAAACTTATGTCTCCCCTATCATTCCTTAGAATTGGCGCATCTCGTCCCGAATTTCGGCATGTACTAAGTTTTCGTAGACAGGTATATATTTTACCTTTAGTGGACCTTATACTTCCTGAATCCTTGTTAATTTGTCATGACAATACAAACTATAGAATTTTTATGTCTGTAGACCAACACTCCTGTTATATTTGTAAAAAGATTGACCATATCGCCTCAAACTGTCCTCAAAAAAACAATTACTCCAGTTCAATAATTAATAACACAGTAACTACAGCAAACATTATAACCGACGTAACACAACACTCAGGACAAATCCATTCAGTCCCAAATTATTTGGTACAAGATATTCAATCTAAACAATACAAAAATAAAGATGTAGATGTAAATAAACCAAGGCCAAAAAACGATAACCCGCTTACAGATGAAGGTTTAAACGGTAATGAAATAAGATTAGAAACTAATGAGTCATTGATCACTTTACCAATTAGCACATAACCTACACTGCAAATACAAAGCAAAAGAGCTTTCTCCGAAACAGTTACACTACCTGAAACTCCTGAATGCTTTATACTGCCTGCTTAGGATACACGTTCAAAACAGAAGAGAACTATCCCAACGATAGATCCTATTGATATACATAAACTGATGCAGCCAACAAAAGTATTTTTTGAAGACGACACAAACGAAAGCGTTCTTAATTACCAATTAATTACGATACATTTTTTTGAAAACGCGTATGGTTCACCTGACCCATTGAGTGTTGCTCAAACTTTTACAAAAGATATTAAGGGGTTACTACAATTATTAGACAACATCTACCCTCTGTTCAATGAAAAAATAATGAAAACACGTTGCACAAATATTAAGCGCAAAATATCCAAATTGCTGGATACAATTTCCTCCTCTGAATTAGAGAGCGATCAAGTACAAGAATAAAAATTAACATATACAACAAAAATGTCAATTCTTCAGTGGAACATAAACGTTTATTATATATATATATATATATATATATATATATATATATATATATATATATATACATACATACATATATATATATATATATATTTTATATATATATATATATATATATATATATATATATATATATATATATATATATATATATATATATATATATATATATATATATATATATCCGGTTTTTTAGGCGTTACGCCCGTCCGGTAGGGATCTATGGAGGAGTATCACCGAGCCGCAAGCCCGTATCTCTTGCCGTACTGCTCCACCATAGGCCGATCAGATTCCAGCATATCCTAGTCTAAGCCGCAGATTCATCTAGAATTTTAAACTGCTGCGTTAGACTTTTTGTTTTCTGTACACCGAGCTGGTGCTCGATCCCACATCCACTCAACCATTCGACAGTGAAGCGAATGAGAGGCAGCCGCACAGCCCGCTGAGCTATCTGACCGACTAAACGTTTATTATACACAACTGAAAATGTTTAAATTATTCATTACTAAACACTCATCTTCAATAATATGTCTTTAAGAAACGAATTTTACTGACCAAAAATTAGCAAAATTAAAGGCATTTACAGGTTATCATAAAAACAGACGTGATTTTAACAAAGCCAAAAAAAGTGGAGGTGTTTCTATTTATGTTATTAACTCATTGAAATCTAGACAAATACCTTTAAAGACCAAGCTTGAAGCAGTAGCAGTAACCATAAAAACTCCAAAAATTATTAACATCTATAATATTTATTTTCCACCGAATACTGATATCCATCGAAGTATAAAAGAGATAACTCATATTATAGAACAAACTCCGTCGCCTAAGATTACAGTAGGAGATCTAAATGGACACAAACCACTTTGGGGATCTAATAGATATAACAAAATAGGACACATAATAGGAACGATCATTAATAACACAAATATTACCCTACTTATCGATGGATCTCCAACAATATTTAATTCTTTTATTGGAACTACTAGTTGTATTGACTTATCTCTTGTAGACCCTTCTTTAGTACAAAACATAACTTTGGAAGCTAGTACACAATTGTATGGAATCGATTATTTTCCCATAGTGATACATTTCGAAAACGAACAAAAAATTTAACCATACACTAGATGGAATACAGAAATAGAAGATTGGTCACCATTTACACAATTTGTGGAGAATCAATTGAATTATTTTTCAGATCCATCTCCGCATGACAATATAAACGACTTAATAAATAAGAAGTTAACGGCTATTAATAGAAAAGTGGTAAAAGAAGCAAAAAAGGAATCTTGGAAAAAGTTTTTATCAACATTAAACAGTTCTACCCCAGCAACAATAGTGTGGACACAAATTAACAAAATTTCGGGACGCCACACAAACTAATCAATAAGATTTTTAGAATATAATAACAAAGTTCATACATCTAGATCTGGAATAGCAAATTTATTAGCTTCATCCTACGAGTCATATTCAAGTAACAAAAATTTTTCTCAAGAGTTTTTACAATTTAAAATCAAAGAAGAATTACAAGAATTTAATTATGATAAAAGCGGTAACCTACCAATAAATGCACCAATACTAGAGGAATAGTTAACTGAATTTATAAATTCGATTAAAAACTCTAGTTATGGTCCAGATGATATTCCTATTATTTTCCTTAAAAATTTGTCTAAATATGGATTTGCCTATTTACTAAAGATATATAATAAAATATGGCTTGAAGGTGTTTATATGTTTCCATATAAAATAAAATAAATGACGGTTGCGTTTTGATTTAATTTGAGTCTCTTACCACTCACTGACACGTGTTTCTGGGTCTACCCGTCATCAGAAGGAGTTTGTAAGAAGACTCAAACCAAATCAAAACTCACCGACTACTAAGGCAATTTTAGTAAAAATAATTACCAGAGTATGCTACTAGAGGCCTCTAGTGAGGAAACATGAAGTTAAATATCGATAGCAATTAAAGTACACTGTATAACCCAAGCTTAATCAAGCCATTCAGAGCGATGCTGAGAATATTGAAATTCCACTATGCATCAACAATTTACCTATATAAACTACTATCATTTTTGTACTCATTGCGTCGAGTAACGACAATAACAAAATAAATGACGGTTGCGTTTCCATATACCATACTATTCCATATACCATATACCATAAAATACCATGTTTCCATACACTTGAAATAATTTTTATACAATACCTATCATTAAACCTGGTAAACCACGTTCAGATCCAAACTCCTACTGTCCAGTATCATTAGGATGTGCATTGTGCAATGAGCAAAGTGCTCGAAAAATTAATTAACCAATGTCTTATTTGGATACCCGAGCAAAGATCTGTTTTATCTATCAAACAAAGTAGATTTCGCAAAGATAGATCAACTCTAGACAACTTAGTTATCCTCGAGTCTGAAACAGTGGCGCACCTAGGGGGTTAAAATTCACCCCAGGACCCTATATTCCGACACTGTCATTTACAAATTTTAAGGACTTAAAATGGCCTAACCCCCCCCCCCGAGGAAAATTCTAGGTGCGTTACTGGTCTAAAATACATGAAGCGCTACCAAATAATCAAAGCTGCAGATCGGTATTTTTTGATATAACCACAGCATTTGATACAGTTTGGCGCCATGGAATAATTAAAACTTTACAGAAATTAGGTATACAAGGAAATATGCTAAACTTCATCAATAACTTTTTAAAAGACCGGAGTTTCCAAGTAAAAGTAGATGATTTCATTTCTCTTTTTCTTATTGCTGTTAACAGTATTTTGGAAAACGATTCTCCACCGATAAAAAGTACGCAGATCATACGCAGATGATCCCATAATTTATTGTAAAGGAAGAAACATAGAACCTTACAAGGTAATATTTCTGCATTAGAAAAATTGTCAATGGAATGAAATTTTGTTTCAACAACAAAAACAAAAGTAAATGTATCCATTTCACCAGAAAACGCAATGTTAGTAGTCCAGAACTTACAATCTTTAATAAAAAAAATAGTGTTCTGAAGCTATTTTCTTGTGGCAATTTAAATTAATTACTATTTAACTGGGAATAAGCCACATTTAAAGGTTAAAATACGTTTATTGACGTTTCAATTTCCACTTCGGTAATCGTTCTCAAAATATAAACAGTAAAATATGATTATGTATACCTATATATTAAATCAACAATGGACCAGATATTTACAGTGAGGCAGATCCTTGAAAAAACCCTAGAGTTCGGCGTTGACATCCACCACATATTTGTTGACTTCAAAGCCGCATACGACTCCGTTAATAGAAATAAACTTCTACTTGCTACGGTAGAATTTCGCATTCCGTTTGATCTTGTCCAGTTAACTGAACTTACATTTATAGGTGCAGAGAGCATGGTAAAAATCCAAAACGATCTCGCAAGACCCTTCCATTGCAAAAATGGACTAAGACAGGGTGATGGACTATCGTATCTCCTATTTAACCTGGCATTAGAAAAAATAATTCGAGAGTCGTAGATTATTACAAATCTATCTATCTTTAACAAATCAGTACAAATTGTCGGATACGCAGATGACATAGACATCATAGGTAGTTCCACAGAATCTCTGACCGAAGTATTTCAGTCGTTAACAGAATCTGCACACAGAATGGGACTAAATATAAATGTTTAAAAGACCAAATATATGTGTTGCACTAGGTCAAGCCACCCGACACCTACACGAATAATAATTGATGACCTAGAACTGGAAGGTGTCGACACCTTCATATACTTAGGGTCGCTGCTAACCAATAATAACAACGTCAGTGAAGAAATTAAAAGAAGAATAGTGTTCGTCAATAAGTGTTACTATGACTTAAGAAGACAGATGGCCTTAAAAATGCCTATAAAAATTAAACTGACTGTATACAAAACACTAATAAGACCAGTGCTAACATATGGTTCAGAAACTTGTACACTAACACAGAATGACAAAGAATTGTCCAAACGTTTTGAGCGAAAAATACTAAGACGAATATATGGAGGCATAAAAGAACAAGGTTTGTGGCGCAGGTGTTACAATTTTGAGTTGTATAGAAGTTTTGGAGAACCTGACGTTGTAAAATTCATTAAGGTAGCACGCCTTAGATGGATAGGTCATGTAAACAGACGAGAGGAAGATGCCATAGTCAGAAAAGTTTTTTACTAAAGAGGGCCGATCGGACAAAAAACAAGAGGAAGACCGAGACTAAGGTACCAAGACAACCTAGAAAATGATTTGAAGTCTATCGGAATTAGAGCATGGAGAAGAGTTGCCACAGACAGGGGCGAATGGAGGATTGCTGAAGAAGGCTTTGGCTCATAAAGAGCTGTAACGCCACTGATGATGATGTGTATATATATATATATATATATATATTTATACATATATATATATATCTATATATATATATATATATATATATATATATATATATATATATATATATATATAGAATATGTTGATTGTATCAAATTCCTTGGAATTAATTTTAACAAACATTTAAATTTTGAGCAACATATTTATTATCTTAAAACATCTTGTCAACAATATTTGAACATACTAAAAGTCCTATCCATTAAAAATTGGGGATGTGATCAAGATATCTTATTGACAGTATATAAAAGTGTTATTAGATCTAAAGTCGATTACGGTTCAATAGTGTATAGGTCTACCAGCCAATCACTTTTGAAAGAGTTGCAAACAATCCAAAATGCTGCTATAAGAATAGCCTTAGGAGTTTTTTGTACTACACGGTAATGAAAGAGTAGATGCTGCCGACAAATCTTCAGTTAACAACGAAGACTTGATAGAATCTACCTATAAGAAAGATTTTCATCACTGGATTAACTCGACATTGAAATAACTATGTGTAGCAACAGGAGAAGACCAAATTATAATAAACAGACTGAGATTAGGACATACACGCTTAACACACGAATACCTTATTACTGGAAATGTTCATCCAATGTGCGGTAAGTGTTTCAACAGTTTAAGTGTCAAACATTGTTTAATTGAATGCCCTGCATATTCAAACGAGAGGCAAAAGCGTAACCTACCGACAACGCTATGCGAGTGTTTAGAAGAAAACTGTATCTATTCGTCTGTTTTAAGTTTTCTAAAATTAATAGGAATATACAACCAAATTTAACATCATTGCGTGTACAAATAAATGTGTAATCTTCTATTAACCAATGTACTTCAAACTAGATTTATGTATATAAAACTCTATCTATGTGATGTCTATGTTTAATCTATGTCTAAAAACTGTAATGCATTGCAAGGTAGAGGCTGTATCTTCAGATATTAAATTTAATGTTATTAATGTTTAGAACCAAGTACCTTAAAAGATAAAAGGATAATCTCGTTTGGTGATGTGAGAGGCAAAGAGTGTATCCCTAATTACCTAAATTATCCTAATAGTATTTATGCGTCTGTTCCACTTTAGTTTTATGCTAAAGCATATGTTCTAAAGATCAAAGGATCAAATCGAAGGATGTGAAAAAGAATGTTTGCATGTTTTTGCACTGTACACAATTTATAAAAATAAACAATTTTACTTTTACGATTTTTCGATTATATTTTATTTTGTATTTTTCTTTTGTTTTGTGAAAATAAAGTAGTTTTTATTATGGTTAATAAAATTCCAGTTAACCAAACTTAAATTTCAACCATTATGTGAAAATATTATCGGCGAATACCAGACCGGTTTTCGACAAGGCAGGTCGACAATAGATCAGCTTTTTACAGTAAAGCAAATCCTTAATAAAGCTTGGGAACACGATATTGATGTTCACAATATATTTGTCGACTTCAAACAGGCTTATGACTCCATAAATAGAAGCCGGTTATATAACATCATGGAAAGCTTCAATATTTCCTCGAAATATATCCGACTAGTAAAAGCAACGATGGACTCCACAATAGCAACTGTACGCATACAGTACGAATTAACTGACAGCTTCGAAATAGTTCAAGGGCTGAAACAAGGCTGAAACATTAACCTCATGTCCCGCAGAGTGGATGATGCAGCAGAAACATATTCGCAGCTGCAAAAAACGGCCAAGGAAATTGGACTTGAAATAAATACACAGAAGACAAAAATACTAACACAGACGCGGACAAAGCGAACAAGAAATCAAATCAAAGTAGTGGATGACATTGAAACAGTGAAGAGTTTTACTTATCTGGGAGTCGAAATGAAGACGGAGATAACAGAAGAGGCCGAAATTCAGAAGAGAATAATGAAGGGAAATAAAGCCTATTTTTCCCTGATTAACATATTCCGCTCCAAGACGGTACATCGAAAATCGAAACTTAAGGTCTATAAAACTATCATCAGACCGATAGTATACTATGGATGTGAGACATGGGTTTTGACAGAAAGCACTAAACGAAGATTAGAGGTTTTCGAGAGAAAAATCCTAAGGAAGATCTTTGGACCCCTCACTCAAAATGGGATGTGGAGATCTAGATATAACCATGAACTCTACCAACTGTTCAAAGAAGCACCTATTGCAGAGTTCGCTAGAGTACAAAGGCTTCGATGGGCTGGACATGTGGTACGGATGGATGCCGACAGATTGCCGAGAAAGGCCTTGGATGGTAAAATGCAGGGCAGAAGACCAAAGGGAAGACCACGTAATAGATGGGAGAACGAAGTCACAGCAGATGCGCACAACTTATTGAACGTCAGGGCTTGGAGACGAGTGGCGCGGGATCGCCTTTGTTGGAGGCAGAAGTTACAGGAGGCCAAGGCTCAATTTGGGCTGTAGCGCCATTGGAAGAAGAAGAAGAAACTTAAATTATTTTTATATAGTGTATTTATTGTAAGTATCGAAGACTATTACCATTAGTTTTTAAATACTAATTAGTAAAGTCACAAATATTGTACTCTAACTAAAGACTAGAAGTTCCGAAAATAATGAGTATAATCTACCTGGTATTGATATTTAAAGTAACGAATCGGTACAAGTATTTAAAATAACCGAAAATATACAACACTTTTGTGCAATATATCAAGACCCACTCCGGCTTGTAGCTCTACAAGCAGAAGACGAAGAAGAAAAGGAAGAAGTGTTTAATGTGAAATTTTTTTCATTTTTCATATGTCAGGGAAAGAGAGCAACAAAAAATTTCATTAATAACTTATTACATTTTTTAATAAATAATGAAACAACTATTTTACCTCATATGTATGTACTGTAAACTTATCATTTCCCTGAACAATACTCTTCAAGTTATCAGCATAACATCCTAAAGTGGATATAAGTAGTACTGAGAGTACCAAGTAACGCATATTTCCAATTTGGTAGTCACAAGATAGCTACAAAATGATTTGAAAATCACTGGCGTTAAAACGTATATCGATCATATCAATTTTTGTTATCAGGAAAATAGGTTATATTTTTAAATATATAATTAAAAATTGGCTTTAAATACCAACAATAAATTAATGATATTAAAACAACGTTGCCATGTATTTGTGAATGAATTTGTGTATCTCTTTCCATCGGCTTTTATATACTCGTGGAAACGGTACCTTTTTGACCTTCAAGTTACCTCCATTTTTTACCAATAGCAGACACAACGTTGGGGAGGCATTATTTTTTTTTATCTTGACCGACCTGGAAAGCGACAGCCCAGAGTTCTGAGGTGTTTCTACTTTAGTGGTGTTATGCACATATCCCTCGGTTTGCCGTTGATTTTGTGAAACTTGTAGAATTAAATCTTCTTCAAATGAGAACCCCTCCAGCAAACCCGTGACTTTGGTTTTTGGCTATGGTCAATGACTTTTCGTAATGGGCTTTTGTGTGTGTCAGATAATAGGCTGCCGACTAACAAACAGTGTTTGCTTATCTCGCCACTCGACCAGAAAGTGTTATAAAAGTATGAAATATTTTTAAAGCAACAAACAAAAAAGGCAATTAATGAATAAATCGTATATTAAATTAAAAATTAATAAATGAAAAATACTTAATGGATATCGTTTGTTGAGAGAAAATCAACTTCACGACTTTCTTCAAAATCTTAAAATAAATTGGTTACGTGGACTATGTCTCGTAAAACAATGGTCAATTGAGTTATTCATAAAATAAGTTGTCATACATCCTAAAATTTAAAAGAAAAAAGACTTCTAATCACTTAAACGGGCCATGCACGTTCCGATTTTTAGTCCGACTGGTGGTCCAACTTCCGCAGTTGGATCAGAAATCGGAACGTGAGTGGGCTGGTTGGTTTAGTTGGACAACTAGTGGTACGAGTTGGAACATCAAGAGATCCGACTTCCGACTGACGACAAAGTGGGAGCGTGAATGGTGAAGTTGGAAGTCGGGTCATAGGTCGGATCGAAAATTTCCTTAGTCAGTTGACCTTCGGCACCTGTTACATATGAGACTTCTATGAATTACTCTATGCAAAGATCCCTAGTTCGCAAATATTTAATAGATGATTTTTCGACTGTTCTAACAACCATTCAAATTTCGTCATTTTGTGTCATGTGGAACAATTTCACTCAATCCTGTCAACATTAGACTGATAATTGCATTCAGTGCAATTTTCAATCCCTATGACAACACGATCGAGTTTGACAACTTCATCCAAATATATATATATATATATATATATATATATATATATATATATATCCTCCGACGTCTTCCGATGCCCAATCTCCATGCATCTCTATCTTCCCAAAGATCTTCGTCTAAACCTCTCTCTCGGATCTCTCTGTCTATTCCTTCTCTCCAGCTCTTTCTGGGTCGGCCTCTTTTTCTCTTTCCATGTGGTGACCAATCTATAATCTGTTTGGGCAGACGATGTTATGGGATTCTCTGCACATGTCCATACCACTTTAGTTGTTGTACTCTTATATCTTCGACAATCGTATGTGTGACTTCCATAACCTCTCGTATACGTTCGTTATTATTACTTTCGAGTTTTGATTTTCCTGCGGCTCGTCTACAGTAGTCCATCTCCGTGGCTTGTAGTGTTCTTTCAGTAGTTTCCTTTAACTGCCACACGTCACCTCCATATATTACTATGCTCTTTATAATAGTGTTGTATATTCGATGTTTATTTTTTTTTTGGATATATGTTGATCCCAGATAATACTATTTAGTTAAGATATGGCCCTTCTACCCTGAGTGTTTCGTTTTTTTATATCCTTATCTGATTTGCCGTCGTCTGTGATTTCTAATCCTAAATAGGAATATTTATTGTTGTTTGTCCGTCGTTTAAAACTAGATTTTGTTCTTTACCACCGATGTTCATGTACATTGTTTTATCTATGTTGACTCAGCCTTCGGCTTCGTGCTGTTACCAAGGAACGAGCTTTCGATTGTCATGAAATTATCTCGTCTGTTATCAATGTCCTAGGGATATTACTACTGATAATTTTTCGACTGTTCTAACAACCATTCAAATTTTATCATTTTGTGTCATGTGGAACAATTTCACCCAATCATGTCAACATTAGACTGATAATTGCATTCAGTGCACAACACGATCGAGTTTGACAACTCCATCCAAACAAATTTCAAAATGTCACGTTTCTAATGTTAACTTAAATTTTAATAATTGTACTTTCACTAACTGCACTTTTAATAAATAAATATTTCGTTATGTTATGATTTTTTTTTCGAAAAATTATCCGCCGAATATCCCTCTGACATTGATGAATGCCTCATAATTTCATGACAAATTTCTCATGCTCGTTGCTTGGTAACAGCACTGAGCCTTCGGCTTCGTACTGTTACCAAGGAACGAGCTTTCGATTGTCATGAAATTATCTCGTCTGTTATTAATGTCCTAGGGATATTACTAAAAATAAACTTTCAATAGCACGAAAATTACCCCTATTAAAATACGCGATTCTTCATGATAATATACTTTGTGTCACGGGCAATAATTTTTCTTCCTGTTGATTTATTTTGCACACTTCTACACAGGTACAATTTCCGACACTCCGGATTGGCTACAGAAGAATTATCAACAAACAACAAAAACTAAATCATAGTTGTACTGAAATTAGAAGTAACTGTGTCTTCATATTGTTCTGAAGTTATTTTCTTCTGTCATATTACGCAAATTTACTATTTTAATTGGAAATAAGCCTAAATATTATTTAGAAATTAAATTTTATTTGACGTTTCGACTTCAACTTCGGAATATTTGGATTAAGTTTTTTGAAGTGAAAGTCCAAACGTCAAGTACATTTAATTTCTAACTTATAGTGTTTCTTACTCCCAATAAAAATACATACTAAATTTTCTACAAGATTACTTAGTAAGGGATAGTTCTTTTCTGTATACAATTTGCTTACAACATCAGTTCAAAACAAAATCTCAATTGGTGCCGTCTGTCCGACATCGCTATGCAAAGCTTTGAGTTTGCAAATAAATAATAGAAAATAATTTTCAATTGCACGAAAAATTATTATAGCCCTGCAAGTTTCTGGTATCACCTTTGCCAATAGTTGTGGAGATATTTTACAGCTGAACATCAAATCCTCAAATGACTTTCCAATGGCCAGAAAGCGTAAAGTAGCAGGCGTTGTTCAGTACTGACACAATCAGGCTATCTGTTTTGGAAATAAGTAGACCAACTTTTTTCAGCAATAGCGAAAAAGTATAGTGGTCCATTTTGAGGTAGTTTTGTAATGATCCTCATCAATGACATTGAGCAGTTTCGTGTCACAATAGTTCACACGATCAACAAATAATTTCTTCGTCCAACATTTTTTTTTCAAACGATAAGGATAACAAACACAGTGCTCTCATTTTCATTCTTCTAATTATATTTTAAGTAGTATCTATTCGATACATTTTTTGGTTAAACGATGTACACCGTCGTGAAAACAAACTAGAACTGAAGTTGTACCGCTAATTGGATAGGAAGTCGGAGCGTGAGTGGAGACGAATATCCAACTAGTAGTCTACTAGGTGGGATCGCAAGTCGGAATGTGAATTCCGAGCTTTACAAAAAAACATAGGCGCAAACTAGACATGAAACAAAATTTAAGGCATTTTAAGACAAAAGTGTAAAACTAGAGTAACCAAAACGATAGGCTTAACGAAAAAAAAAAACAAACACAAACTTGTATAATTAAAAATTAAAACATATACCTATTATAAAAGAAAAAAGAAAAGACAAATCGACGAAGATTAGAAAAATAAACTATTAATCAGCGCGACGAAGGATGGACAAAATATCAGAAGACAACAGACATTTTCACTTAAAATTAAGTCATTATTTCTTCTTCTTCAAGTGCCATTTCCGCGGCGGAGGTCGGCAATCATCATATCTATTCGGACTTTTGAGGCGGCTGCTCTGAAAAGTTCATTTGATGTACATCCGTACCGCTCTCTCAGGTTGCGTAGCCATGATATTTTACGCCTCCCTATGCTTCTGTTTCCTTGAATCTTACCATGCACAATCAGTTGGAGCAAGGTGTATTCTACACTTGTAATATGTCCAAGATGTTCGTTCCAATTTTCTTATTTTAATTGAATTTAAAATTTCTATTTCTTTATTCATCCTTCTCAGAACCTTTTTGTTGTGACATTTTCTGTCCACAGTATTTTCAGAATTCTTCTATACACCCACAGCTCGAATGATTTCAGTTTTTTCATTGATAAAATATTTCATCTATAAAAAAGTCGAAAAAACAGCAACTCGCCAACCTAACTCTTAGTTCCAATTTTAAATCCCTTGTATATACCACTCTTCTGATTATATTGAAGTTTGATCTAGCCTTTTCTATTGTGATTTTGATCTCCTGAATATAATCATTTATGGAGTTATTCATTGTTTCCAGATATGCATATTTGTCCACTTATTCGACGTTTGTTCCATTTATTAGAAGATTTTCGTTAATTCTTTGAGTTTTTGATATTCTCTTAAATTTCGTCTTGTTGACATTCATTGTTAGACCATACTTCATACTCCTCTATTCTTGATCTTCAATAGATTCTTCAAAAGATCTTCAATATTTCCGGCTAAGATCACAGTGTCGTTCATATATCTAATGTTGTTAATGGGAATTCCATTTACCATTATTTCAGCTGTTTCACCCTCACGAGCGTTTTTCAGGATCTCTTTGGAGTAGGCATTAAAAAGAGTTGGCGACAATACGCATCCCTGTCTCACTCCACATCTAATTTCAATTTCTTCTGACAGCTGTTTATTAACACGTACTTTTGCTCCTGTTTGTAGTATAAATTTGATACGATCCTGAGGTCGTTATAGTCAATCTTCTTTGATTTCAGGACATTCATTTATTGTTTACGTCGTACTTTATCGAACTTGATTGACGTCCAAGCATATTT